TGATTATGAGGCCCGGGATAATCCCATAAGAGACCCCAAACAACAATTCAAAGTTGAATTCTTTAACCAGGTGCTAGATTGTGCAATACAGTTAGTTGAAGAACGTTTCATGCAGCTCAAGGAACACAGCAGTATATTTGGGATGTTGTATGATATTCCAAAACACCTCACTATACCTGAAGAAGACCTACACCAGCAATGCAGGGCACTAGAGACAGTGTTGACACTTGATGACATGCGCGATATTGATGCGAGTGATTTAGGTGATGAACTGAAAGCCCTTTCAAGATACATTTCAGCAGGATCAACTCCAAAGGCTGTTCTGAAATATATGTGCACAAACAAGATGACCACCCTCTTTCCAAATGCTTTTGTTGCTCTGCGCATACTTCTAACATTTCCTGTAACAGTTGCCAGTGGAGAACACAGCTTCTCCAAGCTGAAGTTAATAAAAACACATCTACGCTCCACAATGACACAGGAGAGGCTGGTCGGCCTTGCAACCATCTCAATAGAGCATGAGCTGGCCCAGACTGTGGACCTTCAGCAGGAAGCAGTTCAAATCTTTGCAACCAAGAAGGCACGGAAAGCACCACTTTGATTATTCAAACAGATAAAAATGCCAGTGTTTACTATGCAGACAAGAAAAGTTACATTTGCTGTTCAGGTGTTTGAAAGTTAAGTGTTACTTAAAATTTTTGAACAAGGCATTTTAAGTTGTTAGTTCTCCTTTATTGGGGTAGGTAGCAGAGCAGTACCATGAGAGGAGTAGAACAGGAAGAAGGCAGAATTGAGACCTTTCAAAGTTTTGGCCCAAGCGAGAGGGCATGGGGGCATCATTTGAGCTCCCCGCCTCAGGTGCCAAAATGTTGTGGGCCTGGCCCTGTCAGCTTGGATTCACCAAGGGCAAGTCATGCCTGATTAATCTAACTGCCTTCTATGATGAGATAACTGGCTCTGTGGATGAGGGGAAAGCAGTGGACATGTTGTTCCTTGACTTTAGCAAAGCTTTTGACATGGTCTCCCACAGTATTCTTGCCAGCAAGTTAAAGAAGTATGGGCTGGATGAATGGACTATAAGGTGGATAGAAAGTTGGCTAGATTGTCGGTCTCAACGGGTAGTGATCAATGGCTCCATGTCTAGTTGGCAGCTGGTATCAAGTGGAGTGCCCCAAGGATCAGTCCTCGGGCTGGTTTTGTTCAATATCTTCATAAATGATCTGGAGGATGGTGTGTATTGCACCCTCAGGAAGTTTGCAGATGACACTAAACTGGGAGGAGAGGTAGATATGCTGGAGGGTAGAGATAGGATACAGAGGGACCTAGACAAATTAGAGGATTGGGCCAAAAGAAATCTGATGAGGTTCAACAAGGACAAGTGCAGAATCCTGCACTTAGGATGGAAGAATCCCATGCACCGCTACAGACTAGGGACCGAATGGCTCGGCAATAGTTCGGCAGAAAAGGACCTAGGGGTTACAATGGACGGGAAGCTGGATATGAGTGAACGGTGTGCCGTTGTTGCCAAGAAGGCCAATGGCATTTTGGGATGTATATGTAGGGGCATTGCCAGCAGATCAAGGGACATGATCGTTCCCCTCTATTCGACATTGGTGAGGCCTCATCTGGAGTACTGTGTCCAATTTTGGGCCCCACACTACAAGAAGGATGTGGAAAAATTGGAAAGAGTCCAGCAGAGGGCAACAAAAATGATTAGAGGACTGGAACAGATGACTTATGAGGAGAGGCTGAGGGAACTGGGATTGTTTAAGTCTGTGGAAGAGAAGAATGAGGGGGGATTTGATAGCTGCTTTCAACTACCTGAAAGGGGGTTCCAAAGAGGATGGATCTAGACTGTTCTCAGTGGTAGCAGATAACAGAACGAGGAGTAATGGTCTCAAGTTACAGTGGGGGAGGTTTAGGTTGGCTATTAGGAAAAACTTTTTCACTAGGAGGGTGGTGAAACACTGGAATGCGTTACCTAGGGAGATGGTGGAATCTCCTTCCTTAGATATTTTAAGATCAGGCTTGACAAAGCTCTGGCTGGGATGATGTAGTTGGGGATTGGTCCTGCTTTGAGCAGGGGGTTGGACTGGATGACCTCCTGAGGTCCCTTCCAACCCTGATATTCTATGATTCTCACAATGTCCCAGGCAATAGGTTAATATTACAGAGGCGAAAAATGGCACAGATAGCACATGATACCTCCAAAATCACACAACAAAACCACGGTGGAGCCAGAAATACAGTCCAGGTCTTCTGACAATTGCCTTAATTACATGACCATCCTTCCTCCTGCTTTAGCTAGTTGCAATTATAAAATAAGTTTTAGATAACTACAGTCCACCATACAACAGACTCAGACAAATATAACAGAATTAAAACCTGAGATGTAAGAGGGCAATACCTTGCTGATCAGATAAATAGATATGAATTTGGCCTTCTGTATTTAACATTGTACAAAGTGGCAGAGGGCTTGATCCCTCCTCCAGTAAAGTCAAGGGGAGCTTTGACTTAGTATGAGTCACAGTAAGACCATAACCTCCAGCAAGTTGCTTGTTTAACTATGGGGACCATTTGTGATAGGGATATTCAGAGTACCAGTAAGGGATGGGGTGTGTGAAGCAAGGAGATTCTTTTCCCCAAGAATTGGGCAGGCACAGACAATACTGAAGGGGTTTATTTCATGGTGCCGGGAAGACTGATAAACAGCTTCAAAAGTGTGGGGTTACAGTGACCAGTTATATATCTTTCTCTTATCAGTTCATTTGCATTTATCTTGTTCTTACAGAGACAAACATTTGTTTCAGAGACAGAGAACGCACTTAACATGACAGTGACAGGATCAGAACATACTCATTAAAACTATTTTGATTACTTCAATTATCTATAACTGCCCTTTAGGCGAAGGGGTGGGGTGGGGGTGAGTACTTACAAATATCCAGAGGGCTGTGAAGGGAGGGTTTGTTCTGTTCTAAGAGCCGAGTTACTGGGTGGACATTTGACCATATAAGATTATCAAGTGTTTACAGCTACCAGTGTCCTTGGGCCTCTGGTGTTTCTGTTTCTAACTCAACAGCTAACTAAATTTTTAACTCTTGCCTAACAGGTGGAAGGAGAAATGTGGCAGGCCAAGATTCCAGGAAAGGGGTATGGAGTGGGAGCATGGAGATGAGGGCCAGGGACTGGGAGGGATGTGAAGGGTAGTGACAAGGTGTGCTGCTTGGTCTCAGGATAGGGAGGGCCCAGGATAGGTAGAAGGAGGGAGTGTTTTTCTATCTTGCATTGGGACAAAAAAGCTAAAAACTAGAGCATTTTTATAGAACTGAAATCCCACAAAGTCTTGTGTTTCTGAAATGAAATATGCTTCTGGATTCCCTGCTGACTGAAATGGATTGATTCTTGTCGGTTTCACAGCTGTCCACAACTAGCTGCAGTGAAACTAACCAGACTCTTGTTGGGAGGCAGGGATCCTAGATAGCCAGCTGACCTAGAGCTGCAGACCCTAGAAGCCCTGAACTCACTAGTTCTGAGACAGTCTGCACGGTGGGGCTGCCTCAGAGCCCAGCCAACAATCTGGCAGAAAACCAGGCAGTTTCTGTCTCTGCTTATGTTCTGCTGGAAGTTCACTGAAACGGAACCATTCCAAAAGTGTTTCTCCTTCCTTTTAACACCCTAATCCTAAAGGCAATTGAGTCCTTGGTGGTTTAAATAATAAACAAACAACTTTGGGATGGAGATTATAGCATTTGTTTCTGATTATATGCCAAATATGGATAATGAACAATTAATCAAATCTTTTAATCACAGAATGGAGCTTCTAAGTGATGCTGGAGAATTCAAATTGCTGCAGAGGTTATTAAAGGGATTAGTAATAAAAGCTACTTTTTAAAGTCAATTCCTTTGTATTATAACTGCTTATGATAGAGGAGAGGAAGTCAAAATGCACCATCAATTTTTTCACCAGCTGATAACTGGGATGCTTCTGTGTGCTAATGATCACACATGTGCATAGCGACTTTCATCCAGAGGGGGCCCAAATAGCTTTACAAATATAACAGTGGATAAACTATATGCCCACATTACTCCATTCACCACTGTGGTAAAGAGCAGCAACTGCAAAACTGCACAACAGTTTAGGACAGGAAGTGAAGAAGATCGTATTCAGTTGCAAGGGCAAGGGAGTTGGGATTTTAGGCAGAATATAATATATCCCAGTTGGGAATTGAGTCAGGACATCAATCTATTGATCATCATAGTATATAAGGTCCTATGGCTAATACCCCATCTCATGCAAAAAGTGACATAAGATCTTTAATGACCTCAAGGGGTCATAACCTTGGTTTTATGTCACATCCAGAAAATGGCAGCTTATAGCCAAACAAAATGATATATTTGAAAATTCTATCTGCCAATATTATTTAATTGTTTGCAGCACTTTGTGCCAGGCTAGTGTAAGATACTGACTAGATGCTCTGTTTCCCTCTCTAGGGGCTAGTCCATCTATAGGCTAATTGATGCTGCCAGCCAACAGAGTTGCTTGTTAAGCTCGAGCAGTAGAGTTCTGTGCTTTGACACTAAGGGTCCAGGATTTCAACATGGCTGATAGTGGGGGATCCTTACATATGCAACTAAGTGGAGTGAAAGACATTTATCAGCTGTTAACCAGATAGACACCCACCAAACACAGCTACACTCATGCCTTAATTACGTTAGCACTAGAGCTGAGTGAAATCTTGTTTGGAAAACAATGCCGGTTTGGTGTTACCGAAACACTTTTCAAATTTGTGTCACTTTTGCCAAATTGCTTCATTAGAAAAAAAATTCCAAAAAAAATCCAGATGTTTCATTTTGACATTTTTGAAACAAAATGTTTCATTTTTACAATTCAAAATGACTATCCTTTAGTTTTATTGTTTAAATTAAAATCAAAATGAAATGTTTTATTCAACCTGAAACTTTTTTTAATGTTTTTTCAGAATTGCCAACAAGCCAAAAAATCAGTTATCATACGGCTGTAATTAGCACAAGAGCTGCCTGCTACCGAATGCTGCCCCCTTTTGCTTTGCCAGCCTTTGGTCCTACAATTCTTATGCAAGTGTGCCGCCCCATATACTTCAATGGGACAGCTCATGTGAGTAAGGGGAGACTGATCAGGCAGTTCCAATCCCTACATATTCTTTTCCACAATGTGCTTGTAAAACAATTAACTGAAAGCAGCGATTGTCTTTAAGAGTGCTTGGTCTTAAAAGTCTGAAAGTCCAAAAGTTAATGAAAAAGTGTCTTTGTTGATTCATATTTCCAGGCTCTTGTGAGTGTCTGAAACGTTAGCATGCTGGTCTGAAGCAATACAATCTCTTTTAAAGGGAGACCACCCAGATAAGTAATCATTGTAATATCTCTTTATAGGACTAATAGGTGAAGGATATGGTCTATGCTTCATCATTCTAATTTTACAGATGGGGTAATTGAGGCACAGATGGGAAGAAACTTGTCCAAGGACACCCAGCAAGTCAACTAAAAAGCCAAGGGTAAAATCCCTGGACCATGCTATGCTCCTCATAATAAAAAAATAATCCATCCTGGTGTTACTAACAACTCCATTAACTACCATACTGACAGAATCATTTACATTCTCTTTTTGGAAAAGTAATAGGAATTAAACGAATATGGTTCTCTAGAAATTCAATAGTGGTATACAGAAATTTCTGTAGAAAGCTAAAGAATTTAATGGAGAATGAGATTCTCTCTGTAGAATCTTTAAACCATTTTATAGATGGTAACAGAAAATTACGCACTAGAAATCTGTGGGTTGGTTAAAAATGTTATTCAAAGGTTAGCAGCATTTCCTACTAAATCCTAATGGGCTTTCTCCCAAGGCTTCCTTTTTGATTTTATGTTTTTTCCATATAATTCTTGCATTTCACTCAGCTCCAACAATGAAAATAGATTGGTCAATGTCACTTTCTGGGTCTCATGCACTAGTGCAGTGCTGCAATGTTTGCATTGTCGACACTGCAGGGAAACATTTAAATGCAAACAAAAACTGTTTGGACTGAAACAATTGATGAAAACGCTTCTAATACTATCTGGTTGTGTAACTCTCCCCCCACTACAAGTTGGGCCAGATCCTGAGCTATTGTGGAGCTGTGCCGATTTAAACTAGCTGCCGATGTAGCACCTTTGTGCCTAAACTACCATTCCGTTTCCTTCTAAATAGCATGAAACATATCAGATCAGAATTATACCTCTACCAAGCTGGAATTAGACTCCTCAGAGGAAAGCCCCTAACTGACCTGATATGCTTGAATATTAGAGTTTTTTGCACTAAGACCCTCACATTAGTATATACACCATATATGTAAAAATATCAGCATCCATCTCCAGTCAACTCTCTGATTGAGGCGTTTGGGATGAGGCTACAGAGCATAAATGAATCCACATAAGGTTGTGTTCTGTTTATACTCCTGAGGTAGCCTTCATTGAAACAGTTTGCAGATGGGAGGCTAGCCACAAATGGAGCAAAAATCACCACAGCCCTACCCCATACCGAATGCTTGCATCCCAGAGGTGGCGTAAGCCTGGGAATTAAGACCTCTCTTGAGGTAAGGATGAACCCACTAGATCCTTAGTTAGCCATTCACTTTGATGCAGCCTCTCCCTTATCTACCTGCTGTGTGATGGCATGCTGATTTCAGGGGGACAGACGTATGTACCCAGCAGCACTGCCGGTGTGTGCTCTTCCTGGACAAACCTGACATATTATACAGCAGACAACAGGGTAAGAACCTTTCTGGAGATAAACACCTATTGCCATGAAAGATAACTGAAATAAAGGGCAGAGTATTAACATCATATGCCCAGCTGTCTATTGGGTCCGAACACAATCAGGTTCCTACACAAACAAGGGAAAAATGCAGGGTTGGCCCTATAAACTGCTGAATGCCCTTTCTTGCTTTCCAAGAGACTTATTGCTCACACCCTCTTTCTCACACACCTCAGGAACATCTTGAGCAGTTCTCAACCTCCTTTTTAGCTTGTCACCCAGAGGAGGGATTGGGGAGAGAGAGGGAAAATGACATTCAAACACGCAAAAGTTCTTATTAGGAGGTTCAGTTGTTGGATTGGCTTGTTTGCAAAACACAGCATGGAACTACACAGCCTTCATAAGGATTAAGTTACCTTTCTTGTCCTTAGGAACTCAGAGGCTCCTTGGGTTAATTTCATTCACTCTTATGGCTTTTTCTTTCTGGATAGGCAGCTGGGCTTGGTCTGGAGGCCCCAAGGATGTTAGATCCCAGAATTTTCTTTAATGTGCATGAGCTGGGCGAGGATGCTGTCGCCGAGACTGACTGCTTGTTACCAGCTGAAGTGGCTTTGAATGGGGTGGTTAGTTATATAGCGGTCCCGCAGTGCCCCCCCCCCAGACATTAGCACTGCAGCCAATGGTTGAAGGCCAGGGTGAGGTTGGAGGAGGAGGGGGAAGTGGGAGAAATAAAGGATGGCTCTCATAAGGGAGATGAAAATAATAAACAAATAGTGTGCTGCAGGCAGGAAGGAGCAGGGGGAGGGATCCACAGGCGGGGGTGGGGGGGCAGGGGGATGGGGAGGGAAGGCTGGTTTGGACACCTCATTATTACAAGAAGCATAGCTGGTCTGATACTGCACTGGAGCATTTTTGTAATGGGGCCCGAATTCCTGCGCTGTTTAACTGTCTTTCAGAGTGCAGGTTGCAGCCAGAACTGAGCCTGTTTGGGGAAAGGGTGCTGAAGAGATACACACCCTGCTGCCAAGGGCTGGACAAAACCATCTGCTCCCATAAGGAGCTGATAGCTTGCTCCCTCTACTCCAGGAATGTGTCACCAGAGTGTGCTCCAGCCCAGGTGTGATGTGTCCATTAGCACCTGAGCCCAGCAAGGGGTGAGCAAGGCAGGATGCAGACGCTCCATCCAGGCCAGCACTCCTGATGGAGGAGTGTGACAGAGGGGCAGATGGCAGCTCAGCTGATTGCCTCCCACTGGGGACAACCTCGGCTGCCTCACTTGGGAAGAAAGTCAAGCACTCGTGAGTGGGAAGAGTCGATCTGTAGGGGATGAGAGGGCTAGTGCTAATGTCTCTTGCAGCTGGGAAGAGAAAGGACTCAGCTGTAATGAATATAAAGGGGATTCTTGATTAAGGCTGCTGCAGACAGACAGACCTGTGGTTTTCTCTGGATCACAGACTGACCTACCTAACATCTCCCTATGTTCTGGCCTGGAGTCAGCAGTCATGGAATGGACTGCTGACTACACTCCAAGAGTTTGTCTAGCAATCCCAGGTATGGGGGAGTTGCACACACTGTGCTCTCCCATGTAGCTTCTGCATTTGTTGGGTCTTGTTTTGTTACATTACCAAAATAGATTGGCCTGGAAGTATATGGCTGCTTTCAGTGTATGGAAACCTCAGCTAGTAAGTAACTCCAGCCACAGACAGCACGTCTACAGCAAAAATGCCCAGCATCATCTGCCTTCTGCTTCCTACAGACCACATTTTTTGACAATAACTAGTGCCATTAAAGTATCTCATGCCTTGGAGGATGGTGAAGAGAGGGTTACTCATAATAGAGCCAATCATTGGTCTGTCTAGTACAGCACCTTGGCAAACCAAATAACTATGAACTGCCACTTCTTCAAGATTACAACATCCAAAAATATAAGAAAGAAAAAAAGGTCCCCAAAGTCCCACTAAAATCCTCTTTGCCAATAATGCATCAGAGAGCCTAAATAACAGAGCTAGGAATTAATAAAGCACTGCTTCATGCAGCATGAAGACCAAACCATGGTTGGGTTGGGCCAACATTTCCCAGCAATGGGAACTTCAAAGAGTGTATTTTAGTAGTTACAATGCAACACGGGATGCTACATTAAAGTTTTCTTCTAAAATGATACCAATAACATTAAAAATTGTGGTTATGCTTTTTCATCCTTTTCATATTAGTGATGCTCTGAAATGTTCCTGCAATATCTATGCTACTTATGGGTGAACATCAAAAAGTTCTGAGGCTCAAAATATGTAAGTATTAAAATGCATGTAAACTTTCTGTATCAGAGCCCTTTCTCTGATGTGTTCCGAGTGTTCCTGTATGGAATGGAAATCCCTGCTCCTCCTCCCCCAAAAGGACTTTGCTGAGAGATTTCTGGTGCACTTCTTTAAGATGGAATCATCACTGACATGTCTTTCCTTGGGAGATTTTGATGCTTTCAGTTCTGATCAGGGAACCAGTGACTTGGCAGGGTGAAAATGAAAAGTAACTAATTTTTACCTCAGAAATTGTCTCAGTTTTGGAAGGTAATTGCAATTTTTTATAAGAACTTTGAACACCTGAAAACTGAAAAAAATTGAAGTTTTGGCAAAACCCAAAATATTTCTCTGGAAAAACTGAAATATTTTGATTCTGAAATGCTGTTGCAGTACCTCCTGGCAGTTGTAGTGCAGCTGCCTCATGCTCCATTTTCTTTTATGGGCTGAGCTCCCCAGCTGGACTTCCTGACCCATGGTGCACCCCAGCCATGCAGCCGCCATGATGTACCTTCTTTGTGGTGTGTGGTAGGAGATATAGTCTGACCCGGGATTTGGGTCTGTAGAGGAGAATGGGGGGGAGCATGAGGCACCATAGCAGCATTTCCAAATTGAAATATTTTGTTTTTTTTTTATTTTTCACTCAAAACTTGAAATGTTGTGTGTGGGATGGGGGGAGGGGATGGAGACCCATTTTTCAACCAGTTCTAATTAGAACCTAGGTTTCCTGATTTCCACTGACCTGGCCATTAGCTACCACTGCCTCCTACGTGTTCTTTAGTCCACTAGCGAAGGCTGCAGGTGTGGCCAAAATCTCTGCTAGCGCATGCTGCAAATGCCAGTTGGAGGCTCAGTTCATGTGATATTGGCATGAATCTCCTTGAGAGGGGCAGGAGCACTTCATTTTTCTGTGTGCAAATCAATCTGTGACTGAGTCTAACACAGAAAACTAAAAAAATCCAGCTGAAGCTAGCTCTTGAATGAAAGGGCCAGTGGGAGTGAATTTGGAGCCAGGAAAGAACATCACAGAACCATGGAGAAATGAAGGCACAAAGAAATTATCCGAAACCAATGTCATTTACCCCTCCACTTTGATTGAAAATGTTTGTTAGAGCTGAAGCGTGAAGACAGGAAGCAAACTCTTCTGAGTGGGAAAGGGATGTGGGACTGTTAGTTCAGTCTCCAAAGGCTGCTTGAGGACAGAGGGAATGTGTTTAGCAGCTCAGTAAAGGAGCAGAGAAGTGGGCACTGGCCTTATGGCTGTCAGGCTAGCATGCAGGTTTCTGACACCCAAGATTAAAAAAGTCTATTGTGCCAAGCCAGCCAGCCACCTGGAGCCCTGGGGTTTTCTAGAGAGCCCCAGCTCCCAATTGCCTGTATCTTGGGGAGCCAAGCAGCCTGGGAGTTCAGTGCACCAGGGAGCTGGACAGACAGGCAGGGAACTAGTTTCTGTTTAAAGTTTTGACAAATCAGCACATGCCCCCAGAACATTTAGATTCCATTTTCTGACCGAAAACTGCCCCACCTGAAATCTTTTATCTTTACTAGTCAGCACATAGATAGGGGATGTCATAATAGTGGTAGGAAGCTGCGTTGGTGGTGGTCTTCTAACTCAGCACTGAGCCTATAGTGACAGGGGATGCCTACTGGCTGGAGGCTTTCTTTCTTATTAGACAAAAAAACGAGGTCCTAGTAATCTTTAGAGCCCTACTGGGGCTATCTATAAGAGTAGCAATGTTCACTGTGGTATTCTGGCCAACTGCCAAAATCAGTAATTAGCTCCTTCCTCCCAATATTCCTGTTGCAATTTTAATTGGATGCATGTTCTATTTCATGCCCTGCCCTCAGCGGTTGTGTAATGGTGCTGTGCACTATTAAACATTGCCATGGTTCACAGTAGAGTGATGGAAGTACAAGATCAGATTCTTTCCTACATTAGGGCCTTACTATGTGATTCTGCATGGTAGATATACCCAGCCATGGGAAGATTATCCTAGCATAGGGGGATCCTGTGTATCACAGAACCAGCATGACAACTTCTAAGCCATCCCCCTCCCTGTTGCTGAAAGGGGGGCACGGCTGGCCATGGAAAAAGGGCTATGCCCACAGTTCCCTTAAGTCTGTCTGATACCTGGCTGCCATTATGGTTCCTTGGGACCATAAGCAGCTGGCAAAAGTTAGAGTAGTCACCAAGCTGCAGCAAAAAGCAAACAGCAGCTGCAGGATCAGTGGACCCCAAAGGTGGCTCAACATACCTCCTTACTCTTGAGTTGCACTGTGTGTTCCTTATCTGCAGGCAAAGATTTGGAGCAAAGTCAATAAAGAACTTTGGAGGGAAAGGTACAATATGCATGTAAGAATCCACATGCCATATGAGTCAGAGAGAGAAGAAAAGTCCTACTAATTACTTCCCATTGTGCATTTCCTGGTGGTTTGTCAAGGCATTTTGGAAAAACGAAAAGCCTCTCATGTTTCTAACTCCCATTTGGTTTATAACCTCGGGATCAAGCTACAAGTTTTATTAACCTCAAACCTGATTGTCCTCTGGCAACACACCTGAGAAATTTCAGCAGATTGGTTTGTTTGGGAATCTGGTGAGATGTTTCCAAATCTAGCTTAGAATGGAAAGCTAGTTATACTCAGAGCTGGCATGGACATAGAATCATAGAATATCAGGGTTGGAAGGGACCCCAGAAGTGGGAAGCAAAAGTGGATGGGAATCTGGGAGGCAGTGACCATGAGTTGGTTGAGTTCAGGATCCTGACGCAGGGAAGAAAGGTAAGCAGCAGGATACGGACCCTGGACTTCAGGAAAGCAGACTTCGACTCCCTCAGGGAACGGATGGCCAGGATCCCCTGGGGGACTAACTTGAAGGGGAAAGGGGTCCAGGAGAGCTGGCTGTATTTCAAGGAATCCCTGTTGAGGTTACAGGGACAAACCATCCCGATGAGTCGAAAGAATAGTAAATATGGCAGGCGACCAGCTTGGCTTAATGGTGAAATCCTAGCGGATCTTAAACATAAAAAAGAGGCTTACAAGACGTGGAAGTTTGGACATATGACCAGGGAAGAGTATAAAAATATTGCTCGGGCATGTAGGAATGATATCAGGAGGGCCAAATCGCACCTAGAGCTGCAGCTAGCCAGAGATGTCAAGAGTAACAAGAAGGGTTTCTTCAGGTATGTTGGCAACAAGAAGAAAGCCAAGGAAAGTGTGGGCCCCTTACTGAATGAGGGAGGCAACCTAGTGACAGAGGATGTGGAAAAAGCTAATGTACTCAATGCTTTTTTTGCCTCTGTTTTCACTAACAAGGTCAGCTCCCAGACTGCTGCGCTGGGCATCGCAAAATGGGGAAGAGATGGCCAGCCCTCTGTGGAGATAGAGGTGGTTAGGGACTATTTAGAAAAGCTGGACGTGCACAAGTCCATGGGGCCGGACGAGTTGCATCCGAGAGTGCTGAAGGAATTGGCGGCTGTGATTGCAGAGCCATAGGCCATTATCTTTGAAAACTCGTGGCGAACGGGGGAAGTCCCGGATGACTGGAAAAAGGCTAATGTAGTGCCAATCTTTAAAAAAGGGAAGAAGGAGGATCCTGGGAACTACAGGCCAGTCAGCCTCACCTCAGTCCCTGGAAAAATCATGGAGCAGGTCCTCAAAGAATCAATCCTGAAGCACTTGCATGAGAGGAAAGTGATCAGGAACAGCCAGCATGAATTCACCAAGGGAAGGTCATGCCTGACTAATCTAATCGCCTTCCATGATGAGATTACTGGTTCTGTGGATGAAGGGAAAGCAGTGGATGTATTGTTTCTTGACTTTAGCAAAGCTTTTGACACGGTCTCCCACAGTATTCTTGTCAGCAAGTTAAGGAAGTATGGGCTGGATGAATGCACTATAAGGTGGGTAGAAAGCTGGCTAGATTGTCGGGCTCAACGGGTAGTGATCAATGGCTCCATGTCTAGTTGGCAGCCGGTATCAAGTGGAGTGCCCCAAGGGTCGGTCCTGGGGCCGGTTTTGTTCAATATCTTCATAAATGATCTGGAGGATGGTGTGGATTGCACTCTCAGCAAATTTGTGGATGATACTAAACTGGGAGGAGTGGTAGATACGCTGGAGGGTAGGGATAGGATACAGAAGGACCTAGACAAATTGGAGGATTGGGCCAAAAGAAATCTGATGAGGTTCAATAAGGATAAGTGCAGGGTCCTGCACTTAGGACGGAAGAACCCAATGCACAGCTACAGACTAGGGACCGAATGGCTAGGCAGCAGTTCTGCGGAAAAGGACCTAGGGGTGACAGTGGACGAGAAGCTGGATATGAGTCAGCAGTGTGCCCTTGTTGCCAAGAAGGCCAATGGCATTTTGGGATGTATAAGTAGGGGCATAGCGAGCAGATCGAGGGACGTGATCGTTCCCCTCTATTCGACATTGGTGAGGCCTCATCTGGAGTACTGTGTCCAGTTTTGGGCCCCACACTTCAGGAAGGATGTGGATAAATTGGAGAGAGTCCAGCGAAGGGCAACAACAATGATTAGGGGTCTGGAACACATGAGTTATGAGGAGAGGCTGAGGGAGCTGGGATTGTTTAGCCTGCAGAAGAGAAGAATGAGGGGGGATTTGATAGCTGCTTTCAACTACCTGAAAGGGGGTTCCAAAGAGGATGGCTCTAGACTGTTCTCAATGGTAGCAGATGACAGAACGAGGAGTAATGGTCTCAAGCTGCAGTGGGGGAGGTTTAGATTGGATATTAGGAAAAACTTTTTCACTAAGAGGGTGGTGAAACATTGGAATGCGTTACCTAGGGAGGTGGTAGAATCTCCTTCCTTAGAGGTTTTTAAGGTCAGGCTTGACAAAGCCCTGGCTGGGATGATTTAACTGGGAATTGGTCCTGCTTTGAGCAGGGGGTTGGACTAGATGACCTTCTGGGGTCCCTTCCAACCCTTATATTCTATGATTCTATGATTCTATGATTCTAAGGTCATCTAGTCCAACCCCCTGCTTGAAGCAGGACCAATTCCCAGTTAAATCATCCCAGCCAGGGCTTTGTCAAGCCTGACCTTAAAAACCTCTAAGGAAGGAGATTCTACCGCCTCCCTAGGTAACGCATTCCAGTGTTTCACCACCCTCTTAGTGAAAAAGTTTTTCCTAATATCCAATCTAAACCTCCCCCACTGCAACTTGAGACCATTACTCCTTGTTCTGTCATCTGCTACCATTGAGAACAGTCTAGAGCCATCCTCTTTGGAACCCCCTTTCAGGTAGTTGAAAGCAGCTATCAAATCCCCCCTCATTCTTCTCTTCTGCAGGCTAAACAATCCCAGCTCCCTCAGCCTCTCCTCATAAGTCATGTGTTCCAGACCCCTAATCATTTTTGTTGCCCTTCGCTGGACTCTCTCCAATTTATCCACATCCTTCTTGTAGTGTGGGGCCCAAAACTGGACACAGTACTCCAGATGAGGCCTCACCAATGTCGAATAGAGGGGAACGATCACGTCCCTTGATCTGCTGGCAATGCCCCTACTTATACATCCCAAAATTCCATTGGTCTTCTTGGCAACAAGGGCACACTGCTGACTCATATCCAGCTTCCACTGTCACCCCTAGGTCCTTTTCCGCAGAACTGCTGCCTAGCCATTCGGTCCCTAGTCTGTAGCTGTGTATTGGGTTCTTCCGTCCTAAGTGCAGGACCCTGCACTTATCCTTATTGAACCTCATCAGATTTCTTTTGGCCCAATCCTCCAATTTGTCTAGGTCCTTCTGTATCCTATCCCTCCCCTCCAGCGTATCTACCACTCCTCCCAGTTTAGTATCATCCATCTTCCCCTGGAGAACATTTTTGACAAAAATGAAAATTTCCTTTGAATTTTTTTGGGTTTTCATCAAACAAATATTTTTGGTCACTGAAAATCAAACCATTTGAAGTGTTTTGAATAAGACGTTTTGACAAAATGGGAAATTCCCTCCCTGCTACTAACCCAAACATTTAATGGAATTAGAAAATGTCACGGAGTATGGGGGAGTCCAGGCCCTACCCCTCTTCCTCGGATTCACTGAGACTCTCAGCCAGCCAGTAAAACAGAAGGTTTATTGGACAACAGGAACACAGTCCAAAACAGAGCTTGTGGGTACAACCAGGACCCCTCAGTCAAGTCCTTCTGGGGGAGCAGGGAGCTTAGACCCCAGCCTTGGGTTCCCTGTGTTCCTCCACCCGGCCCCAAACTGAAAACTAACCCCCCGCAGCACGCTCTCTCCTGCAGCCTCTGTTCACATTCCTAGGCAGAGGTGTTACCTCCCCCGCGCCCTCCTGGCTCCGGTTACAGGCTCTCAGGTCTCCCATCCCCAGGGCACATTCCCAGGTCAACACTCCCCCATCCCTGCTGCATCACATCGTCACAGAAAGCCATTCTGTGTTTCAAAAACAACAATCCCAAAAAGATCATTTTGGTGAAAATTTTTTGCTCAGCCTTTGTTATAACCTTCACCAAGGAATGACTGTACATAATAATGGCTAGTGCTGTGCAGCATAAAAGCATGAAATTAATTTTCCTATGCATGGCTCACAGCTTGGAAGGTGCCAGTGTTAATTTCATAGCTTCTGGATTTTTTCCCCTTAATTACATTAATTTCTTCAGCAACAATTCAGCCTTTAAGCCTGTGATGGTTGAGGGTAGTGCAGTTCTCTCAGAGTTGGTTCTGGATTCAAGTAACGCCCAGGAAGGGAATAGTCCTAAGTTTGTATCTGCTAGGGAGAATGGCACTGTAACTAGGTTGCATCCAGTTAGTGTCCTAGCAAAATTCCAGAGACCATACAATGCTGGTGCTTGTATTTTGCCTATTGTTAATGTGTGGCTGGAAAAGGGTGTAGCAACTCTGTCTGATCAGAATGATATCCTAGCCCTGGTCTATACTAGGAATTGAGGTCGAATTTAGCAGCGTTAAATCGATTTAACCCTGCACCCGTCCACACAACGAAGCCCTTTTTTTTTTTACTTAAAGGGCTCTTAAAATCAATTTCTTTACTCCACCTCCGACAAGGGGATTAGCACTGAAATTGACCTTGCTGGGTCGAATTTGGGGTACTGTGGATGCAATTAGACGGTATTGGCCTCCGGGAGCTATCCCAGAGTGCTCCATTGTGACCGCTCTGGACAGCACTCTCAACTCAGATGCACTGGCCAGGTAGACAGGAAAAGGCCCACAAACTTTTTAATTTCAATTTCCTGTTTGCATGGTCACCTGCAATTTGCCACGCTGGCCAGAGCTCATCAGCAGAGGTGACCATGATGGAGTCCCAGAATTGCAAAAGAGCTCCAGCATGGACCGAACGGGAGGTACGGGATTTGATCGCTGTATGGGGAGAGGAATCCGTGCTGTCAGAACTCCATTCCAGTTTTCGAAATGCCAAAACATTTGTCAAAATCTCCCAGGGCATGCAGGACAGAGGCCATAACAGGGACCTGAAGCAGTGCCGCGTGAAACTTAAGGCAAGCCTACCAGAAAACCAGAGAGGCAAATGGCCGCTCTGGGTCAGAGCCCCAAACATGCTGCTTCTATGATGCCATTTTAGAGGGTTCAGCCACCACTACCCCAACCATGTGCTTTGACTCCATCAGTGGAGAGGGAGGCAACATGGAAGCAGGTTTTGGGGATGAGGAAGATGATGATGATGATGAGGTTGTAGATAGCTCACTGCAAGCAAGCGGAGAAACCGGTTTTCCCGACAGCCAGGAACTGTTTCTCATGCTGGACCTGGAGCCAGTACCCCCCGAACCCACCCATGGCTGCCTCCCGGACCGGCCAGGCGGAGAAGGGACCTCTGGTGAGTGTACCTTTTTAAATATTATATATGGTTTAAAAGCAAGTGTGTTTAATGATTAATTTGCCCTGGCATTCACGGCCAATACAGCTACTGGAAAAGTCTGTTAACGAGTCTGGGGATGGAGTGGAAATCCTCTAGGGACATCTCCATGAAGCTCTCCTGGATGTACTCCCAAAGCCTTTGCAAAAGGTTTCTGGGGAGGGCAGCCTTATTCCATCCACCATGGTAGGACACTTTACCACGCCAGACCAGTAGCACGTAGTTGGGAATCATTGCAGAATAAAGCATTTCAGCGTATGTTTGCTGGCATTCAGACAACACTTGTTCTTTATCATTCTGTGTTATCCTCAGAAAAGTGATATCATTCATGGTCACCTGGTTGAAATAGGGTGCTTTTCTTAAGGGGATATTCAGAGGTGCCCGATCCTGCTGGGGTGTTTGCCTGTGACTGAACAGAAATATTCCCTGCTGTTAGCCACGGGGAGCAGGGAGGGGTTAGCCATGCAGTGGGGGAAGGCAAAATGCGACCTTGTAACAAAAGCACATGTGCTATGTATGTAATGTTAACAGCAAGGTTTACTGTGAAAGAGTGTACCCATTGTTTTATAAAATGTGTCTTTTTAAATACCACTGTCCCTTTTTTTTCTCCACCAGCTGCATGCGTTTCAAGGATCACAGGATCTTCTCCTTCCCAGAGGCTAGCGAAGATTAGAAGGCGAAAAAAACACAGTCGCGATGAAATGTTCTCTGACCTCATGCTGTCCTCCCACACTGACAGAGAACAGACAAATGCGTGGAGGCAGACAATGTCAGAGTGCAGGAAAGCACAAAATGAATGTGAGGAAAGGTGGTGGGCTGAAGAGAGGGCTGAAGCTGAAAGGTGGCGGCAGTGTGATGAGAGGAGGCAGGATTCAATGCTGAGGCTGCTGGAGGATCAAACTAATATGCTCCAGCGTATAGTTGAAAGGCAGCTGGAGCACAGACCATCACTACAGCCCCTCTGTAACCAACCACCCTCCTCCCCAAGTACCATAACCTCCTCACCCAGACGCCCAAGAACGTGGTCGGGGGGGGGGGCCTCCAGCCACCCAGCCACTCCACCCCAGAGGATTTCCCAAGCAACAGAAGTCTGGCATTCAATAAGTTTTAAAGTTTAAACTTTTAAAGTGCTGTGTGGCCTTGTCCTTCCCTCCTCCACCACCCCACCTGCTGCTTCCCTCCTCCACCACCCCTCCGAGGCTACCTTGGCAGTTATCCCCCTATTTGTGTGATGAATTAATAAAGAATGCATGAATGTGAAGCAACAATGACTTCATTGCCTCTGCAAGCGGTGATTGAAGCGTGGAGGGGAGGGTGATTAGCTTACAGGGAAGTAGAGGGAACCAAGGTGTGTGGGGGGGTTCATCAAGGAGAAAGAAAAAGAACTTTCACACCATAGCCTGGCCATTCCGGAAACTGGTTTTCAAAGCTTCTCTGATGTGCACTGTGCCCTCCTGTGCTCTTCTAACCGCCCTGGTGTCTGGCTGCGCATAACCAGCGGCCAAGCGATTTGCCTCAACCTCACACCCCACCATAAACGTCTCCCCCTTACTCTCACAGATATTGTGGAGTGCACAGCAAGCAGTAATAACAATGGGAATATTGGTTTGGCTGAGGTCTAAGCGAGTCAGTAAACTGCGCCAGCGTGCTTTTAAACGTCCAAATGCACATTCTACCACCATTCTGCACTTGCTCAGCCTGTAGTTGAGCAGCTCCTGACTACTGTCCAGGCTGCCTGTGTATGGCTTCATGATCCATGGCATTAAGGGGTAGGCTGGGTCCCTAAGGATAACTATAGGTGTTTCAACATCCCCAATGGTTATTTTCTGGTCTGGGAAGAAAGTCCCTCCCTTCCCTTCCCAGCAGCTTTTGAAACAGATAAGAGTTCCTGAAGATGCGAGTGTCATAGAATCATAGAATCATAGAATATCAGGGTTGGAAGGGACCCCAGAAGGTCATCTAGTCCAACCCCCTGCTCGAAGCAGGACCAATTCCCAGTTGGTCATGTCCCTTTCCTGGCCATCCCATGTTGATGTTGGTGAAACGCCCCTTGTGATCCACCAGTGCTTGCAGCACTATTGAAAAGTACCCCTTGCGGTTTATGTACTCGCCGGCTTGGTGCTCCAGTGCCAAGATAGGGATATGGGTTCCGTCTATGGCCCCACCACAGTTAGGGAATCCCATTGCAGCAAAGCCATCCACTATGACCTGCACATTTCCTAGACTCACTACCCTTGATATCAGCGGATCTTTGATTGCATTGGCTACTTGCATCACAGCAGCCCCCACAGTAGATTTGCCCACTCCAAATTGATTCCCTACTGACCAGTAGCTGTCTGGCGCTGCAAGCTTCCACAGGGCTATTGCCACTCGCTTGTGAACTGTGAGGGCTGCTCTCATCTTGGTATTCTGGTGCTTCAGGGCAGGGGAAAGCAAGTCACAAAGTCCCATGAAAGTGCCCTTACGCATGCAAAAGTTTCGCAGCCACTGGGAATCATCCCAGACCTGCAACACTATGCAGTCCCACCAGTCTGTGCTTGTTTCCTGGGCCCAGAATTGGTATTCCACGGCATGATCCTGCCCCATTAGCACCATGATGCCCACATTGCCAGGGCCTGTGCTTTGAGAGAAGTCTATGTCCATGTTCTCATCACTCATCACCACGCTGACATCGTCTACTCGCCCAGTTTCGCTTTGCCAGGTTCTGGTGCTGCATATACTGCTGGATAATGCACATAGTGTTTAATGTGCTCCTAATTGCCAAAGTGATCTGAGCAGGCTCCATGCTTGCCGTGGTATGGCGTCTGCATAGAAAAAAGGTGCGGAATGATTGTCTGCCGTTGCTCTGATGGAGGGAGGGGCGACTGATGACATAGCTTACAGTGTTGGCTTACAGGGAATTAAAATCAACAAAGGGGGTCGCTTTACATCAAGGAGAAACAAAAACAACTGTCATACAGAATGGCCCCCTCAGGGATTAAACTCAAAACCCTGGTTTAGCAGGCCAATGCTCAACCCACTGAGCTATCCCTCCCCACAGTATTCCAGGCAGGACTGAATCTCAATTAAACTTTTCAAGGTGCCCCTGACAGACCTCACTGAAATGATTGTTGGCCCTTGATTTCACGGAGGGAGGGAGGGGGCAGCAAATGAATACAAAACAAATCTAGTCTATTTCTTGTTTTGATCCACTCCATCTATCTTTTACATCTTTGGCTGGCAGCAGACGGTGCAATAGGACTGCTAGCCATCCTCATCTCCTGGCTGCTTGGCAGAAGACGGTGCAATATGACTGCCAGCAGGACTAAAGAGAATGACCTGGTCGAGTCACTCCTATTTTAGCCCCTGAGCTCATGTCTGCCCAGGTGCTCCTGACCGACCTTACTGAGGCAGCCAAGAGCACCTCGGACATGATGACGATGGTTATCAGGCCTATTGCACTGTCTGCTGCCACAAGGCAACGAGCTGCTGCTGTGTAGCAATGCACTACTGCGTCTGCCAGCACCTAGGAGACTTATGGTGACAGTGAGCTGAGCGGGCTCCATGCTTGCCGTGGTATGGCATCTGCACAGGTAACTCAGGAAAAAAGGCGCGAAACGATTGTCTGCTGTTGTTTGCATGGAGGGATGGCCTGACGATATGTACCCAGAACCACCCGCAACAATGTTTTTGCCCCATTCAGCATTGGGATCTCACCCCAGAACTGTGGGACAGCTACCCACATGCAATGCTCTGGAAGTTGACGCTAGCCTTGGTACTGTGGAAGCACTCTGCCAAGTTAATGCACTTAATGCACTTAAAGCATTTTTTGTGGGGACACACACAATCGACTATATAAAAACAATTTCTAAAAAACCGACTTCTATAAATTCGACCTAATTTTGTAGTGTAGACATACCCTTAGCCAGGGCATGAGGAGAGCATACAGGTAATTTGATTGTGTTACCTACTGGCAGTTTGTAAACTAGTAGCAAGAAGGAAAAGATTCCTGAGCTTGTGTGTGGCAAAGGGAAGGAGAATGCTTTTGACCTTTTGACAATGAAATCTAGCAGTTTGCCTGAAAGGGGATTGTGTAGGAATCTGTCTGATAAGCCAAAGGTGATCCTGGATGTAAGTGAGACCCAGAAAGAGTCTGTTGCTCAGGAAAGTGTTCCTTTAGAGCAAGCCCTAGGTGAAGAGGGTAAGGGCAGAATTTCTGTGAGGAGTGAATTGTTGCTTAAAAAGAAAAGGAGTAGTTGTAGCACCTTAGAGACTAATCAATTTATTTGAGCACAAGCTTTCGTGAGCTACAGCTCACTTCATCGGGTGCATACTGTGGAAAGTGTAAAAGATCGATGAAGTGAGCTATAGCTCACAAAAGCTTATGCTCAAATAAATTGGTTAGTCTCTAAGGTGCCACAAGTACTCCTTTTTCTTTTTGCGAATACAGACTAACATGGCTGTTACTCTGAAACTTGTTGTTAAAGAAGCTCCTAGGGAAAGGAATCCTCATGGTAGTCTTTGCAAGCAGTTTGCTGGAACTGAAGGGTGTGAAAGTGATTTGATCAAGGAAGTTTCAGTTCCTAACAGCCAGAAATTTTCTGTTATGAATGGATCCACTAACTTTCTTTTTGAAAGATCCAATGTGGATAGCTTTGAAAAGGTCTCAGGTGGAGTAAAAGCTGTTAAGAAAGTTGAACAGCCCCATAAGCAAGTGGCTGTGCTTGACCAGTTTGTTGGGGAGACAAGGTTGTTGAGAGAGGAATGTCTCCATAATGATTCTTTGAGTGAGCAGTCTGTGCTTCAGGGACTGAGGATAGATTTGGTTACTGGTATTTCAGAGCAGGACAGCTGTGCAGTTAATCTCTCGAGAATTCAGGGGACGGCAGGTATACTCTCATCTCTAGACACTTTGGATATGACTTGTAGTCTCTCAGTGGACTTAACATCTGATTCCATGTGGAAGCAGAGGTTGGTAAGGGAAGGACAGCAGAACTTTGAGTCTAGCTTGCTAGTGAAAATGGATGGTATATCTTTAAGACAAAGTCCAGCCTTGGAATTGGTAGCAGTTAAGGATCTGAAAACTGGTGAACAGGCTCCTGTCTGTGTTAATGCAAATTACCTGGCTGACAGGGAGAAGAAAGACTTGCTAAGAGCGGTTAGCAAAGAAAGCACACCCAATCAGCCAGTGAATTCTGTTAAGCAAGAGAAATCAGGGTTTGATCCTTTAGGACAAGGAGGAAAAAGAGAACTTACTTTTGCAAAGGGAAGCCACAGGTTAACCCTAAAATGCCAAAACCCCAGAGGTATTGGGCCAAAGGTGTGGCATGACAAAAATGATTGTAGATGGGCACTTGCAATGGATTTATTGTTATTGCTAAGGGTGATTTTTGTAACTACTGTGTTGCTAATACCAAGAATTGTAAAAATATACAATGTGCCTAATCTTTTGGAAAATCCCTTGAACATGTTAAGAGAGGCATCACTAATGCCTGAGGACCTCCAATGGTAGTGAAATGGTCATCTGAAATATGCCCAGATGATCCCAGCAGGCAATCCAAGTCCCATGCAACAGAGGGAGGCAAAAAACTCCCAAAGTCCCTGACAATCAGAATGGGAGGGGGGAGAGGAGGGAATTCCTTGCCAACCCCAAGTCTGGTGATCAATTAGAACCTGAGCATGTGGGCAAGACCACCAGCCAGCCATCTAAGACAGAGAATTTTCTGTACCACCTTGGAGCACTGATTTACTCCAGCAGGTATCTTGTCTCTAATGCAACTTTTGCACTGGAATGACACAGAGGCTATCCTAATCTTATTGGTTGATCCCCTTCCCGGGTTGGAAAATCACAGTGGCCTTCTAGATTAATCAGCAGCCTTAGATACCATTTACCACAGTTCTTAGATGGATAAACATTATCACTTGTGAGTGATTCCATCCTTTCTACAAAGGCCTGGTAGGCACTACGGAATGTAACCATGCCAGAACATGGTTGTTTTTAATCTTATCAGCGGAACCAGGGCTAAACATCGTTTTGCTGAAAATGTAGAGTAGGACAAACCATTTTAACACTGTTGCAGCTAACCAAGTCCTTGGCACTGAGACATCACAGTGGATAGCTTGGGGTAATTGCTCATCCTTTCCAAAATTCTCTCATTAGGGTTTCTGCAAGTTTCTATTTTGGCTCTTTGGAAACTGTTCTCCTCAGAATGTAAACTAATTATATTCTGTTGCTCCATTGAATGATGTCCCTGGCTCCCTGCAG